GGCCCAGCCAAGCCTTCCCCCCCCCCGCCGCCGCCCCGATCCCACCCCCGCTTTCAGGCTGCCAGGAACCCAGCGCAAGATCTGGGCTCGAGAAATACCCAGGTCACCCTCCTCTTCCTCCTCTTAGCACTGCAGAGCTGGAAGGGACCCTATAAGGTCATCATGTCCAGCCCCTGTCAAGGAGACACCAGCGGGGAGGATCGAACTCCCAACCCTCTGGCTCCGCAGGCAGATTCCTTAAGCCACTCAGCTCTCCAGCAGTTCTGCTTTTCAACAGATTCCCTTAGGAACCCCATTAGAAGAATGCCCCATCAAGGGCTTCCACTTGGATGTGTGGAGACTGGGGGGGGGGAGGGGAAGAGTCAGGCAGCATCCCACCCCACCACTGGTTTTAGAAGGCACCAGAGACTGGCTAGGATCGAGGCGCAATTAAGAAACCTCCTAGCTTCAGCCCCATGGTGCTACTTTGGACCTCACACCCTCCCGTTTTTTTTCTAGCTAAGGCCTGCCCTACCGTTGGGCAAAGGGAATTTTGTGTCCTGGAAGGGGTGATGGTGAGAGGATGGCTTGCTTTTCCTAGGGAAAAAAGGGGGTTGTGGGGTTTTCTGCCTCAAGGGCCAGGATCGGACCAGCCTTGGGGACTACAGGGCCACACTTTGGGGTGGGTGTGGGCGTGCTGTTTTGCATCAGGCAAAAAAACTGGTATCTTGCGCCAGCCTCGGTATGGCTTCGCCAATGGCCTGTTCTGGTCCATCAGGAGGCCTGCGGTCGTCCAGGGAGTTTTATGGCTCCTGGGGACTAGAACACGGATCTCCCGAATCCCAGCCCAACTTACTATAAATGAGAAAATGCTTCAATAATGGAATGCCTGCTCGGAGGCTGGTCCCCACCTTCCATTTATAACCCTCTTAGTGCCACCTTTTACTTCTTTCTTCTTTTTCCTCCCCTTTTCCAATCTGCATTTGAACTTTGGCCATGCCTTAGCCTGCTGGATTTTTTATTTCAGCGGCTCTGCCGCATGCTTGATAAACATCAGGGTTTTATTTTCCATTTTAAAGTTTTACAGGATGTGGAGTTTAATATTTATTCATGTTCAGTGCCTGGGAATCTACCAGAGGGCTGCCGGCGTACATTTTAAGCGAAAATTTAAAAGGGACGAAATTAAGAGCAGAATCCTGTTAGGGGGGAAAAAAAACAGGCGCACAAGAGCAGTGGTGAAAATGACTCTCCCCCCCCCACCTTCCCAGGTTGCTGTTCTTCACAGAGTCAGGTATGTGAATGATCACATAAAAAGGAGAACCACTTGTGAGATCCTTGAGGTCGCTTGGGCCCAAGCCATTTAGGGCTTTATAGGTCAGAACCAGGATTTGGAATTCTGCCTATAAATGGACTGGCAGCCAGTGGAGCCGCTGTGACGCGGCCGAAACCTGGGCATCCAGGCTCAGGGACAAATCCAGGAGAACCCTCAAGCTTCCCACCTGTGTTTTCAGAGTGTAACCCCGTCCAGGACAGGCTGCATCCCTATTTCGTGGCTTGCCTTTGGAATGACCAGGAGCACCTACAGTATCTCGTCTTAAAGGTGGCCGCTCCACAATTACTCATGACGAGTTACATACACTTTATGTAAACGTAAACATGATTCTGGCCTTCCTTTATTTTCTTCCACTGCGGGAAATACGTACAACACAACAGCCTTGCACCTTTTATATATTTTGGTCTTTCTTTGTGAAAATTTGGCAAAGTTGGGCAAAAGTCCCTCTATATTTTCCACAGAAAGCTTTGCATTTTCCAAACAAGAGCCGAAATCCTGTTGCCGTACGTTTATGGGGTAGAAGCTGGTGACGTCGTCAGCTTTTGCCAGTAAATTTTAATTGTAATTTATTTAAAGCTTCTTACTCTCCTATTTCAGACACTAATGCTCCTTAGGGCTCCTTTTTGCCCTGGGGAAGCCTTTGGGAGCCTTGGAATGGGGTGGTGGTGCTTGAATCACCCCCAAATTGCCACCACCGGTGGTCTCAAATCTGCCAGTGGTGATCCAGCAGCAAGATTTTGGTGATTAAAGGCTTCCACACACACACACACCTTGTCTTGAGGCTCCCAAAGGCTTCCCTGGGGTAAAAGGAAACCCTAGAAGCCTCAGAGCTTAAAACAGACAGATAGGAAGGTTTTAATTAATTTTAGTTAAGAGCGATCAGCTTCCACTGTATAAATGTTTCGCTTGGGCATTTCCAGGTAGAGCTGATCAACTGTATATATGTTTCGCTTGGGCATTTCCAGGTAGAGCTGGGAAAGAGTTGGATTGAAGCTCAAGTTAGCAAGGGTAAGCCATATTGAATGGGGCAGACTAAGGATCTGGCTCAAGAGAAGGCAACTTATGGGGTTTTCTTTTTATTGAAGGGATGGAGAATGTGAAGCCTTCCAGATGATGCTGGATATCAACGCTCTTTGGTCCTCACCACTGGCTATCCTGCATAGGATTTGCACTTCAACAACATCTGGAGGGCCACAAGTTGTCCACCCCTGATGTAAGGAAAGAGCCATGTAAGGCTTGAAGCCTAGGCTCCAAGATTAAGTCCCTTACATCGGCAGGCATGGCTGGGAAACACTGGTGCCTGAAAATCAGAGACTCGCAAGCCACTCAGTATCAGCAGAACCATGTCATATGGAATACTAACTTTGGAGCAGAGAATTTCCTATATTTTATTTCTTTTTACTCCTTTCCCCCTCAGAATACCAGAGCGGATGAAATACTTAGAAATACCCCAGAGAACTGGTTTCCAATACTGCTTACGGAACAAGCATGGGAAGCGAGAGGCTTATAGACAGAATGAGACCTAGTCAATGTGCTAGCACAGAATGATAAAGGATGAGCTTCTTTTGCATTCACACTGAATACTGAAAAGGGACAACAGATATGAATTCCACATGGAAGGACAATGTCTAGATCCAACGATCTCACACACAAAAACATGCCCTCATGTCTCCAAAATTTTATTTGAAGCAATGTTTCTGTTTAAAAATTAAATGGAATCTGCAAGAGTCTGAGAGCAACTCCTGCATTCCCAGCTGGTCATACCTCCCTCTGAAGTGCTATTTTCTTTACCAGGATAAATGACTCTTATCACTCTTATGAAATGTTGCTAAAGCCAGTTTTGAGGGCCCTCAGTTTCCCACAATGTCTCCCACACAGCACTGTTTTATTTGCTTTATTTATTTGTAGCACTGTGCCTTGTGGTGCAATGGTTAAACTGCAGTACTGCAGTCAAAATCTGCTCACAAATCTGGGTCCAATCCCAGGTAGTCAGCTTGAGGCTCACTCAGCCTTCCATCCTTCTAAGTTGGTAAACTGAGTACTCAGCTCAGTGCTTTTCACAAGTTGGTGCCTTCCAGAGGCATTGGATTACAACACTCACAATCCACCACCGTGGCTGGTTGATGGTGATAGGAGCTGTAGTCCAACACACCTGGAGGATACTAGGTTTTTAGGGCAAGCAACCTGTAGCTCACCAAATGTAGGTAGACCACCACTCCTATCATCCACTGCAGTTCGCTATGCTGAACAGGGTAGCCACCTGACACTTAATAGCCCAAGATGAACAACCTTAAGTCCCTTCACCAGGAAAAATAAAATAAAATAGTTAAAGTTATGTCCAACACCACAAGAGTTTTAAAGATTAATTGAGAGTTTGCATTAGACTCAGACACGGCTGATGCTCCTGTGCTGGCAAAATATGATTGCATTAGCCAGTCTCTTCTTGATAACAGGCTTGCATACTGGCTGAAGTTTTTAGATAAGTCACTAAAGCCTCCCATACAATGTGCTGGAGTAATCTCACCAGAATGTTACCAGATAACTATAGTGAGGCTCTTTCTGTCTGGATAATGTTGCACTAGTTAGACGTAAAGTGAATGAATTGGTCGACTGACTCACTGATTAGTAACAAATTAGACAGGCCTATCAGAGGGTGTGCCCTTGATTGTTATCAAGACACAATATCTTCCTCCCCTCTCAGAATCCTGCTTCATTTAAGTTCAAAGAATCACCATCTGCTGGTATTGACCCTGGAAAACACAAAACTAGGATCTTAGAGTCAGATGAGATGTTACCTGTCTGGATGCAAGCACACCCTTTCTCTTCCCTCAGGACTTGCTGCCAGGTGCCCGTCATTCTTATGGAGATTTAAAAAAATAAAGAATTTTAGGCTGGTAGCTGAAGAACGTGCTTGTAATGAGTGAAG